TGTAGGCCAAAAATTTCCGAATGACGAAGAAAATTTCCGAATATTTCATGGCATACGAAGCCACGAAGGTATTTGCTATCCGGAAAATGAAGATGCAATTTACAAACAAAAATACACATAGTTTACGCAAAGACATATTACAGAAGCATGCAGTGCCGTAGGAAGCTGGGAACGAGGGCCGAAGGCCCGAGGAAATTTTTAAATTTAGATTCTCTGAAATGTCATTTCCTGGACTTTGGAGAAGTTTTGACAGAATTCTGATGGTCAGAAAACGGAGTTTTAGTATGATATTTGTGACGTTACTCTGAGTATGCATCCACAGCGGGCAAGCTGAAAAGTTTGCTTGGCCACGGTGGGAGTCGAACCCGCGACCTTTGGGATACTAGCCCAATGTTCTGCCAACTGAGCTACGTGGTCAAGTCGGTTCGAGTTCTTAATAGAGTTTTAGTATGTCGAAATTTACAATTTGCTTACAATTTAGTAGAACTAATGATTCTTTGCGGTTTGTCATGGATAATGTAGCCGCTTAAAATTAATCAATAGACCTTTCCCCTTATGAGTGAAATTTTGATCTAGACAAGCCTAAACAAAAATTTCATCATAGCTTGAAAGAGCATCACAAAATTACTAATATTCCGAAGTTTCGTTACGAAATGTAAAATGCGGTAATATAGCCTTGCGAAGTTTGCCGTTTTTCAGTCATTGTATTACAAATGGGAAATTGATAATCAGTTTGATCATCTGATTATCAATTTCCCGTTTGTAATGCAAAATGACTGAAAAACGGCAAACTTCGCAAGGCTATATTATCCGCATTTTACAACATTCAACGAAACTTCGTAATATTACTAATTTTGTGATGCTCTTTCAAGCTGTGGTGAAATTTTTGTCCAGGTTTGTCTAGATCAAAATTTCACTCAAATGGGGAAATTAAGGTCTATTGTAGAGGTGTGCAAATCCGATCCGAATCCGATCGGATTTCGGAACCAAAATGTAAATTTCGGATCGGATTGATAAAGTTGTTTCGTAGTCGGATCGGACTTCGATATCCGAAATAAAATGAATTAATTATCTATGCATTATCGCAAGAATTAATTATCCATACATTTATCAAAGTATCATCGCGGTTTTCGCTGCATTATTCGTTTGATACTTCGATTGGACGTCACTTTGTCAGCTTCTTGACATGTATTTCTTGCTTTTATATTTATTTGGTTAAATATTTCAACTTGAATGAGAAATTAATTTTATTAAAGAATTCTTCGGATCGGATCGGATTGGAATTCTTTTTCAAAACTCGGATCGGATTCGGATTGGACAATTTCGGATCGGATTTTAAACATTAGGCAATTGTCGGATTATAAACGTCCAATCCGATCCGATGCACACCTCTAATCTATTGTCAGTATTTTAAAGGTATATTTATTTAAATGATAAAGGTGTGCATGGTTTTGAAAAAGGAATTATCAGCAAATTATTGTAAGGGCGGCTACCCCCAGTCCCCCCTCCCTCCCCCCGACTGCTACGGCTCTGAGAAGTAGTAAACCGAAAAACATTTACCGATTTACGATTTGTTTTACGTTATCCATGTAAATGCCGTGATTTCGTAAATCAGTTTATACCAATGGTTTATACTGACAATACCCGATAATATTTTCTCTGTTTAATTAAACAACTAAAATTTTGTTTCACTATTATTGCCGTAATTTTCCGAATGGCCAACCCGATTTTCCGAATATGTTAATTCTCCAAAAGTTGGGGGGGGGGG